AGTTGACAGCTTTTTGATATCCGTTACAGGAACCAAGATTACTAGGCTCAAAGCTGCCATATAAATATCAGAGTGCAGTTGTGCGCCAAAAATTGATTATTCATGTTCTTTTTCCTCTTATTGCCAAACAGCTGAATGATTATGATAAACTGTGTTCACTTCCCTCCCAACTATAATCCTTATTCAAACATGGTTTTGTCATTCTGCAGCAATCATTCCATGTTCTTCTCCGTTTTCCTTCTCAGTTTTGCTCCTTGATTTATTCTTCGTCTTCTTCTTTTCCGTTTTTTTGTCCCCTACCCCAGTTTTTATGAGTCAAACGCACCCTTACCACGAGGAAGAAGACGGGGGTCATTTTGATTTAAAAAAGAGGCAAAAAACATTTGGTTCTGATATTCATTTGTCTTCATGTACATTTCGTTGGTCAAAAAAGAATGGAGAAGAAGAGGAAGAGAAAAACTCTAATAGAATGTTACCTAAACTTTGAGCCCAATTATCTCATTTCCTTTGAGAGATATCAAAAAGTGGTCAATTGATAAATTATTTATCATAGCATCACCAATATTTTTTTAGCTTACAAATTTCTGATATCTTTCACAGCAACCGAGATATATGAGTTCAAAGTTGACGGTCCGGGTGAGCTCCTACTAAAGGAAATACGGCGTTTTTGAACTTTTCTTCTAGAAGCTTGTTTCTCAAAATCCCTCAAATTTTAATTCTTTAAGCCAAAATTCGAAACCTCTCAGAATATTTCTCTTTTCTTCCAAAAATTTGCAATTACTATGCAAATATTGCAACAAAAATAATGCGCCCGAGAGAGACGATCGTCAATTTTTTAGTTTTCCCTTTTTGCAAAACATTTGATTTTCCAGAAAATTTATTTTGAAATATTTTCAAATGGCTCAAAACTCCGGTACCTTATATATTCGAAAATTTCAAAAAATTACAGTATTTGCTCAAATTGAAGTCGACCCAAACCTTACACTTTGAGCTCAGTTATCTCGGTTATTGTAAGAGCTAGCCCGGGTGACATTCTATTAGAGGAAATACGACAATTTCTAAATAATTTTTCAAAACCTTTATTTTACGAAACTCCCATTGTTTTTATGTTTCTCGTTTTCCCAGGAAATACCGTACTCCTGAGAAATGGTCTTTCTTTTTTGTTTTTTTTTTGTTCCCAACAAAAATGTTGCGCCACCTGTTTGCCCTACCTACCAATACTTTTTTATTCCAATCCTATCCCCCTAGTATTTCTCTTTTTTCTGTACTTTTTTCTGGGAAAAAATCTCGCCTCTCTCAAAGTTTTCTTCTTGTTCTTCTCCATTTTCTGCACTATACTACTACTACAACACCTAATTAAAAAGAGTACATAGATTTTTGGAATATGAGACGACGAGACCAGAAAAGAGAGAAAAAGGAAAAGAAAGGCATCAGAAGTCTATGAGAATTATATAAAATGTATGTGGATAAAAGAAATGGAGCTTGTCGGCTAAAAATTCGGAGAGAGAGAGAGAGAGAGAGAGAGAAAATAATTTTTGATGGGTGGTAGAGAAAAATGTGTTGATGATGATGAAATGAAAAATGTGCCGTTAATTTTTCAATTTTCGCAAAGTTTCCTGGAATCGGTTTTCTGAATTTTTTGAAATTTCGTGTTGACTAAACTAGAAATACCGTATTCGCTCTAATAGAAGCCCACCTAATACAAGAACTTTGAGCTCAATTATCTCGGTTCCTTCAAAAGATACAAATATTTTGTCCACTAATACATTGCTTGTTTATCACAATATCACCAATACATTATCAGTTGGTAATTGTTGATATCTCTCACAGGAGCCGAGACAATTGAGCTGAAAGTGCACGTATATGGTCGGCTTCTAATCCAGAACTATCGCCCAAAAACATCTCGAAAACTTCATTTTCGCACTTTAGAAACAATCTAGATTTTGTATTAATCAGCAAACCTCCACATTATCTTTTTTCCAGTGACTCATTTGTCTGCAGACAATGGTACTGCACTATAGTTAAGGCGACACGGTGGCAGACACTGGCAAGTGCCAATGTGTGCCATTCTTTGGTGACTGTATCACCTTTAAAAGCACATAACTCATTTGAAAATGAGGATGTCAAAAAGGAGCCTATTTTTAATTTTTGTGAAGTTTTATGGCTCTTTGAGGAATCTTACTATTCCAGACAAATACTGCAAGTGCTCTATTAGAATGCCACCCTATATGCCAACTTTGAGATAAATTATTTCGGCTCCTATGAGAGAGATCAAAAATTGTTTAACTAATAACATTTTGGTGATATTATGATAAACATTTCATTAGTTGAACATTTTTTAATATCTCTTATAGTGACCGAGTTAATTGAGCTCAAAGGGGAAGCATAGGGTGGCGTCCTATTTAAGCTTTAACGATAGTTTTTTTCTAGATAGAGTTCTTACAAAATTAGCTATTTCGGAAACAATTTTTTGCTAAAAGCTTCAATAATATCTCTACTTTTTTTTCAGTTTTCCATGTGTGTGACTTTCAAGCTTATCTTAACCAAACACTCTTCATTGTTGTTACTCACACCATTTCCGGGAAGATTAGTCATAAAATGTTCGGTTCTCCGCACCTATCTCTTATCACTCGTTTCCAAGTTGATAATATACATTTTCCGGAAAATAGTGAATCTTTGAATTCTAAATTTCAGTACAATTTCCGGAAACTATCGGATCTTTGAATAATCTCCAAAATCCTCTTATACTTTTCCCTCACCGCAAGAATGAGAAATTTCAACATTGCAAAAAATTTGTCAATATTTCGTCTTCTTCGTTTTTTTCCTGTTGTTGTCTGTCAATCAGTTTTTTCTTGTCTTTTTTCTTTCGAAATGTACAATTTGCATCTCCTGAAGCACAGCATCCCGAAATGAATCATTTCCCGCACCCCACAATGCCCATTATTTTGCTGGTTGTTGGAGACCAGACCACCTTTTCTCTCTCCTCCGGAACGCTTGATTTATCACTTTAAACAAAACCTGTGTGTGTGCAGCAGTTGAAATGACATTGGGATGTGAGGATGAAGTGTCACATCATTTTCACTTCATATCTCGTTTTTTTGTGGTTTCGAAGGTGATTCTGGGGTTTTTGAATGGAGTTTAATAAGATTTCAAGTTATAGAAAGCTGGAAGCTTGGACTGAAAAGATTTGGTCGATGAAATGAGTTGTGGTTTTTTGACTTTTTTCTAGAAAATTTTAAAATAGTTTTCAAATTATTTTTAAGCTAGATTTTCTGGATTAAAGGGTCCGAAGAGGCGAAAAGCCTAGAAGTTTCTATTTGGAAATACCGTAAAACCTGTAATAGAAGGGCCCCCACACTGTCAAGTTTGAGCCCAATTATCTCGGTTCCTAAAAGAGATTTTGAAAATTGGTGAACTGAAAAAATGCTGGTGATATAATGATAAACAATTTATCAGTTGACAACTTTTTTATATCTTTTACAGGAACCGAAATAAAACGACTTAAAGTTAAAAGTTAAGGGTCCCTTCTATTACAGGTTTTACGGTGATAATTCAAAAAGTTGTAACAGTCTTCCAGAAAAAGTTGTTGACTGGAATTTGAGTTTTTTTTTAAATCCAAAACCATATTATCAAATTTTAAAATATTGAAACTCGAAAAAATATTTAAAAACCAAAAAAATGTTTACCCATTTTCGATTTTCGAAAACTCCTAAAAACCTCAAGTTTCAATATCAACATGGAAGCTCTAAATTTTCTCTACATTTCTAGTTAAAAACCACTCTTCTAGGACCACCGGAAGCCGAGATATTGCCATTTGAAGAGACGCAGACGGCTAGGCACTCTAGCTGTCTGCGTCTCTCCAAAAACCCCAAACGCCCATAACTCGGCGCCCAGATGAGCTAGAAACGTGATTTTTGGATAGAAGGGTGTGAGATTATTGGGAGGATATTATGGAAAGTTGACAAAAAAATTAGGAGAAAAAAATTCGAGATCGAAAAAATCCAAAAACAGTTTCGAAAATCTAAAAAACCAATTATTTAATTTTCAGGAAAAAATGAGGATTTTTCGTTGAAATTGTGTGTTTTGATCTATAAAATATTTTCTGATTTTATCGAATGACATTTGCTCTCTCTCTTTCCCTTTTTTAATTTCCCTTTTTGCTCTCCAGATCCCTTCAAATCTCCATAGCCTTTCAAAAGTCCCACTTCTCTCTGGCCAATCCCAAATTCCAATAATACATATTCGAATAGCTCTTGAACCCTTTATATGGAGACAGTACCTTATTAATTTGCAAATCCTTTCCCTCTTGTCTCCTTCCTGACAGCTAAACCGGGCCGGCTGGCTGGGGGTTGAGGGGGGAGGATCAGAGGAGGGGGAAAGTGGGCGGAGCTTCTAGGGAGGAGAAGAGGGGAAAGGCCACTTGTTCCCGTATGCTGTCCCCGAGTGTGTCGTCTTGTCGTGTCAATGATTTGATACATTTTATTAGGTCCCACACTTATTTTACCTCATAATCATTGAGTTTTGGATTTTGCGTTTTTAGCTTTTTTTCAAAATCTGCTTATCCAATTCCCTTGTACCCAGGCACTTGAGATCTTCAAGAGGCTCTATTTGACCTTTTTTGGCATTCCATCCATCCTAAATTCCACTTGTATTGTCTTGTTTTTTTGTGGAGAATTGAGAATTCTCAAAATCGATTTTTAGAAAATTCAACAAACTCTTGGTCTCTTTCGAATAATGTACTTGGACCTCAATTATCTCAATTCCTGTGAAAGGTATCAAAAAATAGTTAACTAACAAACTATTGGTGATGTTATGATGAACAATTTATATGTTGACAAATTTTTGATATCTTTCTTAGGAATCGAGATAATTGAGCTCGAATTTGACAGCTTGGTTTTCAAATTGAAGTTCTTAATTTTTTTTCAATAAATCCACTTTTTGCTCTCTTCAAGTTTTGCTGTCCGAATTTTCTCACCAATCTCTATTCTTATTTTTCAGCCATGCCCCCATATTTTCTACTGCTTCTACCGCTACTATTTTTGATTGAAACCCATGCAAAGCGGTTACCGCAAATCTATTGGAACTCGACGAATCCATTGTAAGTTTTTTGTTACTTATCTTGATTAGAAACCCAGATAAACCAATATATGTCCCCTGCTGATCCTATCAAAAGCTTCCGCCTTTTGGCTTTATATATGCCGCCATAGAAAACACACTACTCCACACATATTTACAATATTTACCTATTTGGTGGACCCCCCCCCTCACAGGGTGGGCAAAGGGACCATAAAGGACGGAAGCCCTCATGAAGAGAAGTAAGCCGAAACCAAACGATGTTACTAATTATGTACCAGAGAGAGCTCCTGAACAAATATTGGATATCGAATCTAGAGTATCAAGAATTAATCTGAGAACAGATGGGAGGGGACCCACACTTTTTGGGATTAGAATGTATCGGGTGGACCAGGAGACCATATAAAGAAAAAAAATGACATATTGGGAGAGAGAAAATGATTGGGAGGATTTATTTAGATAGATCTAGATTTGGGATTAGCAATACGGCATAAGGTAAAGGATCTAGGTTCTCAGAATCCTTATTGTCTCGGCAAAGCTCTAGAATCCAGAAATCCCAGGAGCAAGGCTATGCAACCGGCCTTGGCACAGCTTGATACACCGCTAGCCATATATGGACCAAAATGTCTAGAATCCTCATTTTCTCATTGGAAACATATATTTTCGGCTGTGTTCCGGCATTTTTGATTAGGCTACTTCTAGACCATGGCGGCCTAGTGGCCCTAGTGGTTGCTGGCGAACTTCCTATGGTCTGGACCGCGGTCGATCGCGGCTCTCTCCCCAGCCTAGGTCTAAAATCCGAAAATCCCAGGAGCACATGTGTGTCATCTCATTTTTCCATGTCTCATGAATCCTTTCAAGTTACCCTTCCCCTTATCTCGATGCCATAAAAAACATAAACATGGGCGGTGGCGTTTTCTTCTCGTGCCGCAAGACAACCATAAAAAGGTCCAGTTTCTTGTCACTTGTCGGTAGCTTTCTGAGATGGTTTATATCGTAAAAGATGTGTATTTCTGGTTAGGAAGTTTACGGGTCAATTATTTCTAGACCTGATCAAGAACCAGGAAGGGAACCTGGATTAGAAATTCGGTACCGAGCCAATTTTAGACGCGTCGCGTGTCGGCGTAGCGGCTTTTAGCTGAAATATGTTTTGAAAAATTAAAAACTGGTATGCTGCCGAATGTTTTGACAAATTAGGTGCCTGTTCACAATTCCGAGAGCTGTGATTTTAAAAAATTTCAAAAGTCTCAAACTTTTTGATATTTCGCATCTCTACCTCCAGGTGCTCTTTTTTCTACCTCACACTTTTTATGAGCTCTCCTCGCCCACCTCAAAATTCTAGTGTTTTTTTTTTGCTCCGATCATCTTCATAAATCTCAATGCCACGTGATGATTGGTACCACATGTGCTGGCCTCCTAGTCTCAAATCCCTAATATATTCCAAGAGCAGATGTTCTTGTACCAAGGGACCATCCCCACTGGACTGTTTCCATAAACACGTCAATCTCGAATGAGGAGAGGATAAGAAGAAGACCATATGGAAGTATCTAAGCTGAGCAACTTGCTCCTCGTCGTCTCGGACATCATGATGATATGATGACATGTTTTATGTCGCAAAGGGACCCCCAGCGGACCGAAAAGTGTAATAGGGTCTTTGTAGTACACGGAGGGACCACTGATTTATGAGTCTCTCTTATCTGCTCACCTCTATCACTATATCTCTGTGAAATTTATGTGAAACGAGAAACAGGTTGAATATGTGCTTCCGCCAAAGCGAACAATTAGTCGGAAGAGAAGGGACAGATGAAATTAGAGACCTGTGTGTGGTCCGATGGACCTCTTTCTAAATATATAACATGCAAAAGTTTATATGGAGTTTGAAATTCGAACGCTTTTGGGAAATATTCGCTTTCAAAACGAATGCGGGGAATGAGATACGATAGAAATGAAATTTCATGACTTTACGATACGGGGGAAATTCGCTCTACTTCAAAAACTGGAACCCTCTATTTTTGAAAAAAATGTCACAAATATATTTTTTCATAACTCCCTATTACCATAAAACCTGTAATATAATTTATCTTGAGTTCTGACTAAATTTTTTTTTGGGATTTTCGAAGTCTCAATTTTTTTTTACATTTTCATAAAAATTGCACATACTTCTGTCCAAAAATTACGCTTCTAGCTCATCTAGGCGTCGAGTGATGGCCATTTGAAGTTTTGGGGAGACGCAGACAGTTAGAGTGCCTAGCCGTCTGCGTCTCTTCAAAGGGCTATATCTCGGCTTCCGGTGGTCCTAGAAAAGTGGTTTTTAGATAAAAATGTGTAACAATTCGGTGCTAAAAGTTGTAATAGAAGAGCTAACTTTGGTTCGATTTATCTCAATTTCTGTCAGTGATATAAAAAATTGGTCTACTGTAAATTGCTTATCACAATGTCACAAAAATTTTATTAGTTGACCAATTTTGCTATCTCTTACAGGAAACCAGAAAATCGGCTCAAACAGGATCATTACACTTTTTACGGTATTTTTTACCATCTCCATTCGGTTCCATTGTTATTCACTACCTGATACTTCCGGTACCCTCTTCACCATATACGGATTATGTAGATAAGGCACACCCTAAGTATATCCTCTTGTATCCACAAGTCTCATTTTGAACACGGTAAACACCTGCGGAGAGAAGAAAAATGAGACAAAAATATCCAGGGTCAGTGTCTGCGAGCAGCTGGCTTCTCTTCGTTATGTAACTGACCCACCAGGGGGTCACCTGCACTGTCCAAGAATACAAATTTGTTAGAAATCCCCTTTTCTCCGTGAGGATCCTCTCAAGATTTTGGAGATACAAAGTATCGGTTTCCGAATACAAATATGGGGGTGCTCCGAAAACATCTATCTTCAAGTGGACTACATTGGTTACTGTGTTTGCAAACAGTTGCCGCTCTCTCTCGAGGTTGTCTCCAATTATCAAAACCACTTTGCACAAATCAAGTGGCTATAGGGGGACCTTGTTGTCGGAGAGCTAAGCTAATTTGAGGAGTACTTCTTATTCTACTAATCAACTGCCAATTGTTGTCTCTTTTGGAATTTGATGATGAGGTTTCCACACACACACTGAGGTGCAAAAAGGAATGGGGGTTAGCACCTTTTGGGAACGGATTAGGTGACGCTTTTGGATTGTTTACCCGCGAACGAAAATGTTACAGTAGCGGCGGGGTGTTGAGCAATATGTATTATTTAGTACCAAGAGACTTGTAGAGAAAACAATGTGTGCTACGTCATAGAAGTCAAGCAGAGATATTCGGGTAATGTCAGTATTAAATAAAGGGGAATTGGCTTCTAGCATAATACCGTAACACCTGTAATAGAAGGGCCCCCTAACTTTCAACTTTGGGCCAATTTTTCTCGGTTCTTGTCAAAGATATAAAAAATTTGTCAACTGATAAATTTTTTGTCATAGTATCAGAAAAATTGTTTTTAGTTGACACATTTTTGATATGTTTCAAAGGAACAGAGATAAATTAGCTCAAACTTGACATGGTTTACACCTAAAATACGTAATTTAAAAAAAATATACCCAGTACCCTCTTCAACCAACCATTCTTCTAGGTATATGTAAATTGCCAACCCCATTGAACGTTTCCATATTAAACCACCCACCCAATAAAATGGTCTATCGTCGCCACCCACTACAAAACGGCATAATTAACATGCCCCGTGGCCCCCGAGAGAGGCAGGTGAAAGTCTTTGAACAATGCCGATTCTTTATCCCCTCCTTAATAGATGGTCCCTTAATCTCTTGGTGAAATTTTCCTAACCAATACTCTCCAGGGGAAGCTTCTTCGTCTTCATTTGTTCCACAGGAAGGAAGGAAGCCCTTGTTCATCATGACCACATGTTCATGAAAATTTCGAAAGAGAAGAGCACATCAATTAGGAAGCTCTATTACTCATCTACTGCTAAACTGTTTCGGATTTATGGGGAGAGGGTGACTAGGAAAATAAGAAAGAGGTCAATGTTATGTAACTGTAATATGGATAAGGGTGAAAAGGAAATGAGGTGGAAGAAGGATCGTGGAGATAGAGAAGCCAGATGTATCGGATAAAAAACAGGAAATTGGCAATTTAAACGAATAATTAATTTAGGATTAAGGTGTTTCTGGAGCAAGGTGGAAAATAATTATTCTGGATTAGTTAGTTTTCTAAAAAATGCGACTATTCAAAAATATAGTGACATGCAGTTTGAGCTCAATTATCTCGGTTCCTATAAGAGACATCAAAAATCTGTCAACTGATAACATATTGGTAATATTTCCATAAATAAGTTATCAGTTGACAGATTTTTGATATCTCTCATGGAAACCGAGATAATTGAGCTCAAAAGAAACCTAAGAGGTGGTCTTCTATACGCGCATTTTGAGCTTAATTATCTCAGCAGAGATATCAAAAATTTGTCAACTAAAAAATATTGATGAAATTATGATAAATAACTAATCAGCTAAAAACTTTTTGATAGCTTTTACAGGAACCGAGATAATTGAGCTCAAAATTGATAGTGGGTTTAAGGCCCTAAAACTTTTTAAAACGCTGACTATAATTTTCATAAATTTAAATCTAAGCCCAAAATTTTGCATTTCTGCCCAAACTCGTTTATTCTGTAGCAATCTTGTCCACCTACCGTAACCCCAAAATTTTGAATTCGAACACTTCCGCTGCCATACCAAACACACTCGTTTTTTTTACCTTTTCCATACAAAAAAGACCTAAGGACACAAAAACTCATAACCTCCTCTTCTCACGGAACATAAAACTTACCAGTCCTTGGGTGGTTCGGACACTGAGTCGCCTCTCCTCAAAACTTTTGCCGACACGTTTTTCGAAAAAAGAGTATTACTGTCGTCCCTTGTGTTCTTCGATACCCCGGACACGGGACAATAGTCATCAAGGCGGCTTTACTCTTTTGTGACAAATGGGGTAATGCGCGAAACAAGAATGGGGGATTGTTGGAATGAATTTGAAATGAAATGGATATACAATTGAATATGAAATGTTATGAATATTTCAGAGTCGAGCGCTATGCTGCTATTGGAGACACTCTGGACATCGTTTGCCCGTTCTTTGATGAGAATTCTGATGAGCGAACTGAGCAATCAATAATCTACCGGGTCACAGAGGAGGAATATGAAAATTGTGAGCATAGATCGAATGCGAAAGAGCTCGGAAGATGTACGCAGCCATATCAGGAGGAGAAGCTCAAGGTTGCCTTCAGGCTAATGAGCCCAAACCCATCAGGGCTGGATTATAGGCCAGGAGTGACCTATTATTTTATTTGTGAGTTTTTAAGAACGTTTCTAGAAAAATAATGACGACTAGGGTATTTTGCAAAATTCTAGAAAATCCTGAATATTTCAGCCACTTCCACTGGATCTCGCAAGGGGCTCTACAACGAGCAAGGCGGTCTTTGCGCATCTCACAACTTGAAAATGGTCATCCACATCACTGATCGAAATGGAGACATTGGAATTCAACACCACCGTCATCATCATCATAAAAAGACCACCACAACAACGACCACAACAACTACAGTACCCCCAAAAACTGTTCCAGCCACGCAGGAGGATATGGATAGTTCTGCTGAGAAACTCTGGGAGCAATTCTATGAAAAAGTGATGCCTATTGATAACAAGTGGCCAGAAGTGACACGTGGCGAGAGGGTGACACTGTATCAGGGTGATAAGAAGGATGAGTATGAGCCAGCGGTGCCGGCGGATGGTCTAGATTTTGAGATTCATGAGATTGGAGATGGTGAGTTTTTATTTTTTTTTTTTGGATTCTAAGTTCTATGGGTTTTATTTCATTCTGAATCTCAATTCTGGAGTTCTGGATAACTGGAATTTCTGAATTCCGAACTCCGAATTCAGAAATTATGAATTTCTGAATTTCCTGGAATTTCTGTAATCCTGTAATCCTGTAATCCTGTAATCCTGGAATCCTGGAATCCTGGAAACCTGTAATCATAGAATTCCGGAATTCTGGGATTCTGGAATCCAGTCTTGAATTCTGAAGTTATGAATTCTGGACTTCTGGATTTTTAGAATCTTCTGGAATTCTGGAATCCTGGAATCCTTTAATTCTGGAATTGTGGAATTCTAGAATCCTAAAATTCAGAATCTTAGAATTCTAGAATTTTAGTATTCGGAGGCCTGTAATTCTGGAGTTTCGGAAATCTGAATTCTGAAGTCTTGGATTCTGCATATCCGAATTTCTGAATTTTAGAATTAATGAATTTCTAAATTTTTTTTTCAACGAGTTCTTCGAATAAAAAAGCAAGTTCTAATTTTTCAGTTGAATCCCTGTACTCCTCCACCAGCCGACTACAGTACCTACTGCTCCTTCCAGCTGTCCTAATGCTCCGATTACTGTAGTACCGTTTTCATTGCTCATCTTTTTCCTTTCCATTTCATCCCGGGTGCCCATTGCCAAACCACACATCCCATCGTCACATTTTCCTGTTTTTTCTGACCCCCCAAAATTCAAAACGGGTGATCCCAGTGTTTTTCTGTACCTCTCTAGATTCTAATATTGCTCATTTGTATATTGCCTCCCCCCAAATTGACCAATTTGATCCAAAATCACTTTTCTCCCAAAGCCGGTATCATTTTAGAGCTAAATTTGAAATTTGTAGTGTTTCACTGTGTCTGTGATTTCGATGAAAATCGTTTTGAATAAATAACATATAAATCAAATGAGTGTACGTGTTCGGTTCGGTTGTGTAAACACTTTACCACAATAAATCACAAAAGTGGACCGTATTTCGCGCGCAGCAGTGTCCGAGGAATAAGAAGAAGAAGAAGAAGAAGAAGAAGATGGGGTCTGAAGGACAATGAAGACGACGAAATGTGGGAAAACGTGTTGATGAAGAGGAGAGGAAGAAAGGGGAGGGGGTTGAATTTAGGGTAAGGGCTTTGAACACTTGAAATTTTTTGGCCAGGTTAAGTAAGATGCTATAAGGGGTTTCCAGGGGCACAAGGAGTGGATAGGGTACCTAGGGTAATTTGGAGGATTTGTAAGATCTAGGATCCCAAAGGTTTAGAATCCTGATTATCCTAGCTCCACAGGATTTTTGATCTTGAGGATTCAATATCCTAAGGATCTAAGATCCTAAGGATCTAGGATCTTGAGGATTCAACATCCTAAGGATCTAAGATCCTAAGGATCTAGGATCTTAAGGATCTAAGATCCTAAGGATTTAGGATCTTTAGGATCTGGGTGCCTAGGGATCTAGGATCCCAGGGATCTAGGATCCCAGGGATCTAGGATCCCAGGGATCTAGGATCCCAGGGATCTAGGATCCTAGGGATCTAGGATCCTAGGATCTAGGATCTTAAAGATGCGGAATCCTAAAGATCTGGAATCTTAAGGATCTAAGGTCCTAAGGATTGAGGATCCTAAGAATTTAGTATGCTAAGCATCTAGGATTCTAAGGATCTCAGTATTCGAGGGTTTTGATCTAAATACAAATGTCCAGCGTTTAAACAAGCAAAGTTAGGAAATTTTGAATATGTACTCTGGAGAAGAAAAAACTGCAATTTCGAAAAAAAAGAATGTTCAATTTGGGTCAATTTGGTACAAAAACCAAGGAATTTCAGTTTTTAGGTTTGTAGATTCTATTATTGTTACACCTTTTCTGTCTCATAAGTACTGTGTCTTAAAACCTCAAATCCAGCTACCGTAACCCTTAAACTGACAACCCATCAAAAACCTATACGATTTGAACCTCACTCATTCCAATTCCGATTCATCTCAATTTCATTTCCAAACCTCATCAGCGCCCATTTTTACATATTTTCTGTCATGTCAAAAACCGACACATGTTATAGGTACTGTTCGCGTCCTTCACCGAATTAGTGTGTCAAAAATTTTTAGAGGATGCATATTTTCGAATGAAACATCAAATTGAAACGTATGTAAATCAATCAAAAAGGAGGGAAGTCAAATTTTTGACCATAACGATTTGAAATTTAAGGGGATCAGTGCAAGCAGGTGCATTTCAGAGAAAACGACTATTTCCAATCAACCGAGAGCCTAATTCTTAGATCATACAGTTCATGAATAATTCGCTCCGAAATTTTCATAATCCATTACATTAGGCGGTACTATTCAAAAACAGCACATAAGCTGTCACCTAATTTGACCTCCATTCTCTCTTCTAAGACACTGTGGGGATCATATCATGTCCGTTCTTGGTGCTAATAACAGGGTTCCTCATTTCGCATTCGCGCAAAATGAAGACATTTGGGATGCGTCGGGAATGGTGCCTTTGATCTGGGATGAGAGAAACGAGGGAGGTTGTCATCTATCAATCATTTCTTGGAACACGGGGGCAGAAGATGAACACCGTCTAGTTGGGGGGAATGAATAGAAGGATTGCTCAGCATGGGGTGGATGGTTTTCAGATGGATATAGGAGATTGGAATCTAGACACTGGACTAATTGGCGAAAAGAGAATCTCCTGATACATCTCATGTATATGTTGGATCGGATCATTTTTCAGACTATACCAATGAACTTCGGCGTTTCAGTCAATCAGTTTTCGGCAGGACAACGCTTGGGGGTCATTGGAGAGGACTAGCTGAAAAAACTTGAAAGTGGCAGACGGAATGTCCTTCACGCGCCATTTGTCACATGTCTTGGGTATGCCTTGACTAACGTAGTCTGTCGCCGCCCGGTTAGCTCAGTCGGTAGAGCACCAGACTCTTAATCTGGTTGTCGCGGGTTCGAGCCCCGCATTGGGCTTATCTTTTTTCGCTTTTTTCATTGATAGTTACAGTACCCTTACTATCGTTAGAAGGATCAGAATGTCTCAGATTTTTTCTTACTAGGGAATGACTCACAGAAGGTGTGGAGTTATGGGACGAGACCTATATCATTCGAAAGAGGATGAAATTTCATTTTCAAATATATGCTCAGTTTTTGCGGCGGCCTCCGCTAACTCGAGAAATTTAGGTCAGAAGTTTTCAGTAGATTTTGCACTGAAATGCATACGTGAAGAAAATTCGCATGTTTTCATGATCCATACACCTCTTTTCAAATTTAAAAAAAAAATTTTTTTGAAACACAAAGAAATCTATATTTATTATTATAACGATTATTATTATGTCTCGCTTTTAT